AGACCCAGCGCGTAATTACTGGCCCAGCTGGAAAGAAGTCTGGAGAGGATCCCGGGCCGGACACTTACACGGAGCCGCGCCGCGCGGTGGTGGAGCTCGAGCAGGACGGACAAACGGTTTCGCCTCAGTGACCGGGGCGAACGCGCGCGGGGTTTGGGGAGGAGGAAGAGGGGTGGGTCCCGGGGGGTGAGATAGACTCGGCACTACTTGAGCCTTTGGGGCTCGCTGAGTCCCTATTGAGGACTAGCCAACAAAATGACGGGAGAGAGGGGGAGGAGAGGGGGTGGCGTGCCACAAGAGAGGTGTTTCCACACACCGACTCGCTGAAAAAATATGCCGTGCAAACTACAAACAACTAACTGTTGATCCTCCTACCTGAAGGTGTTCGCCAGTGTCGGGGCTGTCTGCTGTCATGACGATGTCATCGCCGTCCTCGGTCGTCTCGATGTCCACCGTCTCCTCTTCGTCCTCGTAGCTCCGACTGCTACGCACATCGAAGTCCGTCGCGTCCTCCGCCTGTTGGTCAAGCACACGCCGTTTAGTTACCGCGTTTAGGGGGCGCGCTCAATCGTAGTGCACAGCGCGTCAGGGGCAGAAGGGGGTGCCATTTTACCTCAACCACTATGGGTTTTCTGTCGACCTCGTCTACGATGCGGGGCGCGGGTTGGCTGGCCCCCAGCGCCGTCGGCGGCGGCGGGGTAGGCTTGCGCTCCTCGGCCGCCACCTCGCGCGTGAGGTCGGCGGGGTGGTGCATGTCCCGGTGCAGGTCGCGCAGGTCCCGCAGGTCCCGCAGCTCGGCGGTGGGGTCCCTCATCTGCCGCGGCTCGCGGGCGTCGCGGGACTCGGCGGCCACCTCGCGGGAGAGGAGGGCGGGCGGCAGCGAGGGCACGGGGAACACGGGCCGGAAGGCGGAGGAGCGGAGTGCGTCCTGGTGGGCCTGGTGCGGCGGCACCGGCGGCAGCAGGGCGCTCGCCCACGCACGGGGCACCACACCTGCGACAAGGACCTTGGCTTTGCCACTTCCGTCTCCGAGCTTCCCATACCGCCGACCCAGCGTACTTACCGTCGGGCGAGAAGGCCAGCAGCGACCTCTTGGGCGCCAGCCAGGGCAGGGCCGCGTAGGGGGGCAGCACGTGGTGCGGGGGCGGGCCGAGCGGGGGCGGCGCCATGGCCGGGGGCAGCGGCGAGCCCAGCGGCGGCAGCGGGCTGGCCCGCCCCCAGGGGCCCCACTCGAGGTGCAGCCCCCGCGGCGGCAGGCAGGCGGACTGCCCGGGCGCCAAGGGGAACGGCGGGGCGGCCGTGGCGCCGGGCGGCGAGTCGAGCGGCGTCCTGGGCCTGCTCGAGGACTTGCTCATCTTGGCCGGGCTGGGCCCGGACGGGCTAGTGGGGTGCGCCTTGACGGGCGACGGTGGCGCGTTGGCCGCCCCTCCGGGGCCGAGTTCGCCGTCCTGCCGCGGAGCCTGCTGCTGTTGTTGCTGCTGCTGCTGCGGCGGCTGCTGTTGCTGCTGCTGCTGCTGGGAGGGCGTCGCTGGTTTGGACGCCGACCGGTCCTGGTGGTGCTGCGAGTTGGCCAGCAGCCGCTTGCGCGTGCCGCCGTTGAACATGGCCTTGACGTCCTCCCAGGCGTGCACCACCTCCTCGGGCGGGCTGCCCGTCAGGCGCATGTGCCGGCGCCACGAGTTGAAGTTGGCCGCGTCGGGCTGCACGTAGCGCGCCGCCGGCCCCGTGCGGTGCGAGTGGAAGATGAACTTGTTGGGCGAGAAGAAGAGGCCGCAGAGCACGCACTTGATGCACTTGGCGCGCGACGAGTTGTAGCGCGCCGGCAGGAACAGGCCGCGGCAGCCCCACGCGCACTCGTGGTGCACGCGGAACGAGAAGTCCTCCGGCAGCCGCGGCGGCGTGTTGTCGCCCAGGAACGACTTGCAGAGCCGCTCCGCCTCGCGCCTCGTGATCATGCCTGGCGGACGGGAGGAGCAACACGAAAAAAAAAAGGATTAGCTATTAAATACCTAAACAATAGCTAAATAGGCGATAACTATTTTTTTAGCTGTCACAAAAAATAGCTATCTAGCTAAAAATTTAGGTGTTTAGCTACATGATAAGCTACATATCTAAAATATAACTGCGTATCCCTCATTGAACACAGTGGTTTTGTCTATACAGTTAATCATTTTTCCGTAAATACATAGGCAGGCATACAAGTCCATGGACCTGCCTGTGAGAATCCCTCCCGTTTTATTTCACCCAGAAATACGGAAGTAGCAGACGCGTTCTTTGAAAAACAGATTCCGAATGCCGTTTAACTAGGTAATGGTGTTGGAAAGGGGCGCGGGCCGCTGCACGGCCAGCCTGGCGTTGAGGTCTCCCCAGGGACCGATCAGAAGGGCGGAGCGCAAACCAACTTGTCTGCGGCAAGTGTGTACTGATTTACCAATTATTTGATTGTGTCCCCTTTTTTTCGTCGCGTTTTAATGAGAAGAATAGTTTGTTAAAGTTGAAAGTTGGTAAGACAGAATGAGAAGTATGTAGGTAGCTATGGACCGGATGTATCTTTCAATGCGCTCCAGTGTTGCGGGCTTGCCTGCTCCCTAGGACGTCATGGATCCTGCGTCCTTAGCGAGAATGCAATCCCGCAAACTCTAGAGCACATTCAGAGGTACTTCCACTAACAAAATTTCGAGTGGAATGCGCGGCCGTGCAGTTTCGCTCACTCACCGCAGCGGCGCGAGGACACGGGCATGGCGCCGGCCCTGCGCAGGATCTCGAGCTGCACGGGCGTGCACTGCACGCAGGTGATGCCGAGCGCGACGCGCCGGTTGTGGATCTCGTTGTAGGAAAAGTCCCGGAGCAGCGTGTTGGAGATCTGCGCGAGGCAGAGGCGCTCGCAGCCCTCCATGACGAGCGACACGATGGGCTCGCCGTGCAGCTTGACGGTGCCCACCTGCGGGGGCGGGGCCGGCGCCGAGGCCGGGGCTGCTGGGGCCGGCGCCGGCGCCGGGGACGCCGGCGGCGATTCCATGTCCCTACGGCCCTGCAACAGGGGGGAAAAGAGGCACTGTGAGGCATTTGTCGTAGATTGACGGGAAAATTGTCCAGATGATGTGTCTCAAAAAAAATTACAATATGTCATTGTAAATTTACGTGCTGTTTCGACATACAACATGTTTTGTTAAAAATGACAACAAACCTTGTAAATTTACAAGTAGGATTGTACCACGTCGCCGAAGAAAATAATTTGTGCCTATTTGCAATCGGTCTTGGCAGAAATCCAAGTAGGAATCACCCTGCAAAAGACCACTTTGTTTCCTATCCGCGGAACTTCATAACCAGCCCCCCCCCCTCCCTCACCCCCCAATGATAGCGACCCCTTCTACTCGATTCTCTGACGGCCCCGCCTCGCTGCTGTCGCCCGTCACCATTCATCACTGACTATCCCCAGGTCCTGGCGCCGCGTTTGCCACCGCGACACGACGGTTGCTTGGGGCAACCGCAAAGGTAAGGGCGGCGCTGGAGGCTGACGATCGTCAGGAGAGGGAGAGGAAGGGAGGAGGGCAAGCAGCTAAAGGTCCCTCCTCCTCCTCCTCCTATTCCTCGTTTGCTCGGCGAGTCTCGAGACGCTCGCGACGATACAGCAGAGCAGCAAGCAGGAGACGACGGTGACGAGAGCAAAGTAGTCCCCTCAGCGCAGCGGGAGGGGGTTGGAGCGGAGGGTTGGGAGAGAGGGGGTGCTCGCCGCTGCCACCACCACAATAACGACCGACTCCCAAATCGCATTAAACACAGAGAAGTCAAATTAGTAAAGTTGAATAACAGATTCTCGGAGATGAGAGTCCGCGCGGCGTGTGGCTCGTAGTAATGACTTCCGTAGGCAACAGGCGTAAATCTAATAAAGGGGGCGGTCCGGGTCCGGGCCGGCCGGCGGCAATTCAGATTCATCAACAAGAAATGATATTTACAACACACGGGTCCTCCGCCCACTCCCCCTCCCCGCCCCCATCCTCCCTCTCCGTGTACATTGCTCGGGTCCATCTGTTCGTCCTCCCTACGCAGTCATTCTTCTTTCTGCCTGTCGCATACGGCTCTCGTTTTGGGACTTGATTGTTATTATGTTTTGGCTATTTTATCTTTATTTTTGTAACATCCTATTTTGCAGTAAAATCGCTCAGTATTCTTGAGGAATTGCCAGGTCAGTAAATGGATTGTGATGTATTGAAACCCAAATCGCAACGACAGGTATAGACAGACTATGGATGAGCTTCCAATACGCGCATGGTGTGTGGGCCACGGCAAACCCAAACACTCTTGTATGGCAAGTGCCGTGTGCAAGTGCGAATATATGGACATGAACTGGATTGCCGTTAATAATGCCTAATTGTAAACACGCACTTCGCGCTGACACACACTCACACCTACACACACGGCCCGCCTCTCCGGTCACAAATCGTGTGGCCCGCTGGCCCGCGCTGAGAGAGAGAGAGAGAGAGAGAGAGAGAGAGAGAGAGAGAGGGGGGGTAGAGTTTGGCAAGACCTCTCCCCAACCCTCGCCCTCCCATCGTGGCGGGCGGGCCCAGGGAGGGGCGGGCATGGTCGCGCTTTCCATAACCACGTTGTTTCCACCACAACCCCCGGACAGGCATCTTTATTCATGAAACCCTCGCCTCTCTCTCCCTCTCGTTTTCTCTCTCTTCCTCTCTCTCTGTCTGTATCTGCTCCTCGTCCACTTCTCTCGCGTATTGTCGGGGTAATAAAACGTGTTGGCGCATTCACGCCCGTGCGCCTACTGAGCGGGGGTTTTCGGACGAAGGATTTGAAGATTTGAAGCTATCCTGGCTGGCTACCTGACCACACCGTCGCCGTCCAGCTCTCCGTACTTAGACTCTTCCATAACTCATCCCCCTCATCAGTCTCTACGTTGAGAAGAATTCTGGGGCTGAGCTCTATCTGCACTACTATACGTTGAGTGTCCGAATCGGAGCTTTTTCGTTTCCACTTTTATATAGTTCCATGCAAACAGCACTGTCCTTATCACAGAGCATTGGGTTTGTAACTTATAAAGATCCGGCGGCAGCTATATTACAAACGACTTTTCTTTCATGTTACGAACCATCTCGGTTTGTAATAAAATAAAAACGGATGTCTTTGTAACTCAAAGACTTTGCTTCTATTAAAAAGGTTCCAAACTCTTCGTACGTTACAAAGAGCTGTTCTTAAGAAACTCACAGTGTGCACTAAACTGTTTGCAGCGCTGGGCTGGGATCTAAACGCAACATCCGTTCATTTTTTAAAGCCTAGCGCAAGAAAATTTACTGCACAGAGTGCAAAGCATGCTTGCGCAATGTAGAAGCAACTTCTAGTTGTGAGCTGGGACAAATTTGGGACCATTCAACACACGTCTAATGCCCGAGGGGGAGGGGGGTTAGTCTATAATTTGCGTCAAATCACAGTGGTATGACGCTTGTTAATCGCTTTTGGATAAAGCGGCGTTGTCAAGTGTGATTACTGGATACGACAAAGACGGATATGTGTACTAACTTTTGTAATGATGTCCATCATCTGAAAGGAAATATTTCACTTCTCAGCTCGTTATAGCCCGCTTTGCCGAGCGTTGCACGAAAACAACAGACTAGTATTTGAGAACCCCCGCCCCTCGCCCTCGCTGACAACTGGGGCTGGGTCGACCGCCGCGCCCGCCGCCGCCTGCCGCCGGCCGGGGTAGGCAAACCAGTTGAGCCCAGCAGCGCGGCGGGCGGCCTATGCGCCGGTACGCAGGCGCTAGCTGCGGGCGGCGGGCGGCGACGGGCAGCCGCCTTTGGGAGGGAGGGGCGTGAGGCTGTAGAAGGGCGTCATCCAGAGCGATTGGGGCTCGCAGTGTGGCCTCCCTTTGTCGGGCGGGGCGTTACAATAGTAATGACGCTCGAGTCACATAAACAGTAGCAAGAGACATCCGTAAGACAACCAGTCCCCTATCAAAATATCGCCCTACATCAGCGCAAATCCACGTCATGAGAACAACATTATACTAGTATAAAGTTTATACAGTATAAAACAGTACAAATTGAATGTAACGTTTTAGAAATACAAATTATTACCCTATACATTTTTCGCCAATTCGAGGCGTGTAGCAATAAATTTCCGATGCACGCGAATGCCGAGCACGTATAGTAGAAAGAATTTTGCATTTCCATAATAGTTAGGTGTTATTTTGAAGTTAAAAAATACAATAGATATTTGGAAAACTCAATTGAGATACATATAGTAGAATACAATAATCGGCTTTTTCGTAGGGGGAAAGGTCGAGTGAAACGCCGGATTACCAGTTATCGCGGTGTAAATGATTCGCCTCGAATATTCTTTCCTCCAGGTTCAATGTCGGCCGAAGCATGCTCTCTCTCTACCTAAATAAAAGGTAAAATGTCGCGCCTTTGCCTAGTTATAGTCGTTTTATGTCAGAGTTCAAGTACTCATTCCTTATAGACAATCTTGGCAATATGGTACTGGTACATGCTACCGGGTGTTTCCCCTTACTACACGCGCCCGTAAAATTGGGTTCCTTTCTCCCTCTGCTCGCAAGGCGCCATGCCCCCTGGAAGTAGGCAAACCCGCTTCTCACCGGCGCGTACGCTCCGATACGCCTGGCACACTCTAAAATAATTATTAAAACTCTCATGAGAATTGAGATCCCCCTCGGTTTCGGCAGGAGACCTACCTTAACAAGCAAGGTCCACTAAACACAGCACTATAGTAAAACAAATGTGTTGAGTCGTGCCTTTCCTGGAGCACTAAACACATTTTCACTAAATTACCCTAAAGATCCTAAAAATTAGTGCAACAAAGGCACTAAAACATTAGTTTTAGTTAGGTAGGAGTTAGCACCCCTTTGCTTTTTTCAGTGAGGTAACTCTGACACTTTATTATTTTTCTTAGATTATTCAAGTCGGCAGCCCCGCTCCACACCTTTCCATGTCAAGAACACGCTCAAAGTTTTGTGAAATACAAACAATAAAAAAGATTACCAACTAACTCGAACTCTACCTTAAATATACACCGTTAAAAAAGACAAAAAAAAACTCAGAGGAGTTCTTAAACTTTTTTAAAATTAAGAACAGACGGCTAACAGAGCAGGCAACAACCTATATACCTGGATGTCACGTGTCTCCCCCGCGGGTCGGATGACGTCTGTTCTCCTTTTCACTACGGCACACTGTTCAAAAGATGCACCGCCTCCATGCCGCCGCTGGCCGCCACAGGAAGGGGATCATACGGTCCCACCTTCACCACAAATGACAACACTCTGCTGCCCTCCGCGCGCGCGGCCACCCGGGCGCTCCGCCGCGCCCAACCAGTACACGTTGTCCTCGACCGCGACGGGACACCCTCCGCGGGGCGATGTGTCTCTCCCGGACTCCGTGTGCAGACTGCGTCGTCTGCTGGTGCGCGGCCCAGTTGGTCGCCGGGCGACGCGGGGAAGACCACCCCCGGCCTGACCCGCGCTCGTGCACCCGGCCTGGCACCCGGCCTGGCCCCGCCCTCCTGCACGCTGCACCCCCGGCCCGGCCAATGGGGTCGCGGCCCGCGGTGAGAGGGGAGGGGCTGCGGGGGTGGTGGGCGGAGCCGCGGCGGGACCGGGCGGGACCGGGCGAGGCGCGCCGGCGTGGCTCACGCGGGTATATCTTTGATCGAGATGTGGCAGCGGTGGTTGTACTGATGGTCTTCCTTTCACACGTCTTCACAAAATCTGGTCGAAGCTTTTCTTGTTTCGTGGAGCATTTTTTCCGGACCCATACTTTTCATGAACAGTTATTTGAAATATTATTCCTTTCAAGCACGGGATCGGACTCAGCAGTACTGTGTGATAAATTTACATTCGTCATTATTGGACACTACCTAATTCTTTTTTATGAAAATTGTTGGTAGTTCTTCTACTTTCAATCCCCCGCTAGGCAAAGTTACATGTACTCAAGTCACAACGGGACATATTTCCCCATACGCATGAGACGGATTAAAGCCGTGCCTGGCCTTGTATTATTGGCCTAGTTGCGAAAGGTTTGTTAAAACCAAGCTTTTCTTTTTCTGACCATGTCAAGTGTCGTGACTATGCAATATTGTGTTTTTGATATTACTCGGTCCAACGGGGCCAGCAGCCTCTTTGGCAATGACAGGTCAGTCATGAAGACATTTGTGCCTCTCTGAAAATCGATCCCCATCATTTCACTAAATCGCCATAGAAATTCGTAAAACTACAATTATAGCATTAGTAATCAACCCAAATCGTGTATTAGCAAACCCCTGGCTTCATGGAGTATTAAACCGTTTGAGCAGAACGGGTGGAGGAGAGGAAAGGGGGGAGCAGGTGTCGTGTAGTATCCGACTGACAGATTTATGACTGTTGGGGCGATGCACTGTTGGTTGCCTACATACTGGGTTTGTTTTTGTTGCCTACCTTTCAGGCGGATCACTGAAGACGACTGGAGTCGACCCCCCCCCCCTCCCTTTCCCCCGTCATTTTAAAGCCCGCGCCCAGAAAGATGTTGCTTTACGAACATGGGGCCTGGTCTATGAATTTTATGTATATCGGACGGTGCGATTACGTCCCTGACTTCACAACTCGCTGTCCTCCAGTCTGTCGCGAATGCGGTATGGTATAGACGAGAAACTCAAAGTCGCATGTTTTTTCTTGATTGCGCATGACAAACGACCTGACACACCTTTCATCAGTGACCCGGGGTCAGGGTCGCTGACCCCACATCTGATAGATGTAGTAGCGATTGAGGATACTGCTCATTTAGATATTTGAGTTATCGTGGTCGATGATCGTTGTGTGAGAAACAACGAAAAGAAATGTTAAAGATCACCAACGTAATTCACGGTTTAAAAATCTTTTCGTCTACACGTTCATTCAATCAGGCATATTTTCCGTTCAATCTACGTGCCATTTTTCCCTCTAAGGCATAATTCTCATTAAAACTCGCCACATGGCCTTCACTTATCCGGGTGCTAAACAAAACCTAAATCGCTGGTGATTTGCGTCGCAAGTTGAACTTTGCCTCATCCAATCAGTCAGGGCTGGCCAACCCCAGTAACTATTTTAAACGCATTGTATGCAGGAATATCGCCCAACGGCAACCAATGATTATTTTAAAAAAGTAAAGTTTTCTTTTTATTTGCATAGTTTGGTGGTGTAGGTTCTTATTTTGTCTCTAGGCGTTGCTTTATTTCTAGAAAATAAGTTAGTGTGGTGGCAGCAGTGGCTTCCTCTTCAACTGTTTAATAGTCTGTTGTTGTTTTTGTTGTTGTTTTGTTCTTCATTACTAGTTCAACTCAACCACTGGTTGTGTACTGTTGGGATTTGGAAGACAAGGACAAAAATCGTGATTTGAAATGTCCCTTCGCGTAATGTTGTCGCTTTAAAGGTCCCTTTTGTTTCTGCCTTTTGTTATTTGTCTCTCATCAAAATGGATGCTGCGTCTTTAAACCTAATGTCTATTGCGGAAAATGGTTCGGACAAACAAGGAAGGTACGAAAGCTCGTATAACCTATTCCTACGAATATTTCCTTAGTTCAAAGGGCAAATATGTCGATGAAATATGTGCCACAGCCAGATTAAATTTATCTTGTGTCACTTCATGTTCAAAGTTGATGACAATATTCGTAAACCAAATCTGTTGTTGATAGGTCTGCCTACTGGTCTATTTCAAATCAACTTTATCATTCTAAAGTTAATTTTTTAACCATGTTGACTTTTTTTTTTTGGTAATTCGATGTTTTTGCAAAATTTTCCAGCTGTCTTTTGCTACGATATGCAAGCCAAAATTCACTGGATGAAAGCTCTCAAAAACACCTCCCTAGATCTGGTGCCAAGGAAAAACCCCCTTACCATAATCATCATCATACTAACAGAGCATTTGAAGTTATGAATGTCATGCGCAAGTAAGTATATCACATTCTAGTATTGTAGCAAATCAAGAGCAGTTATTTGAAAACTTTTATTTTTTTGTCATTTGCAGGCAAAACTTATTATGTGATGTAACACTTATATCAGATAATAATTCAGAAGTTTCAGCTCATAAAATGGTACTTGCAGCCTGTAGCCCATATTTTTATGCCATGTTCACAAGTTTTGAAGAAAGTAAATCAGATCGTGTGACATTGCAAGGTGTAGATTCAACTGCATTGCAGCTTCTTGTTGATTATGTATATACCTCAGAGGTGCATGTTACAGAGGAAAATGTACAGGTACTTCAAAAGTCCCAGGCTATTTGAACACAGATTATAAATTGGTTATCTGTACCTGCATGATATTAAATTTTCCCTCTTTAGGTTTTACTGCCAGCAGCGAATCTGCTACAACTCACTGATGTGAGAGATGCTTGTTGCGACTTCTTGCAAGGTCAATTGCACCCTACCAATTGCCTCGGAATAAGAGCCTTTGCAGACCTCCATGGATGTCTTGAGCTCTTGTCACATGCAGATTCCTACATAGAACAACATTTTTCGTATGTACAGTCCAGTATTGATGTATAGCAATATTGATTGAAAATATTTACTTGAGTAATTTTGTACTTCAGGGAAGTTGTAGAATGTGAAGAATTTCTCACCTTGTCTCCTCAACAAGTTTCAAAACTTATTTGTAGTGATCGTTTGACAGTTCCATCAGAAGAAAAGGTAAAATTTTTGTAAACTTTTGTCAATTACTTACATGTACTTGTTATTATGAATTATTCTATCTATCTATGTGTTGGTTCAGGTTTTTGAGTGTGTAGTTGGTTGGGTTCATCATGATCTCGAATTAAGACAGACCCAGCTCCCTCTCTTGATGGAACATGTACGCTTACCACTGCTCTCTCAAGAGTACTTAATGCAGCGTGTAGAAGAAGAACCACTTTTAAAAGCAAATCTTCAGTGTAAGCATTTTCAATCTTCTCTTAATTTTAAAATTTTGTGTATAAATATTATCTTGTCAAAATTAATCCATTTCTTGATTACCCCGGCAATCTTATTTTGCAGGTAAGGACTTTCTTATTGAAGCATTTAAATATCACTTATTGAAAGGAGAACAAAAATTGTCTTTCAAAACTCCAAGAACTAAACCAAGACAGCCAGTAGGCTTACCAAAAGTAAGGCCATACACTGCTAAACGTCTTTCTCAATTGACTGTGAACTAATTATCAAATCTTGCAGGTTCTCCTCGTTGTAGGTGGACAAGCTCCAAAAGCTATTCGAAGTGTAGAGTGCTTTGATTTCAAGGAGGAGAGATGGTACCAAGTTGCTGAAATGCCTACCAGGCGCTGCAGGTATTCAAGTTTTATCATGCTTTTATGCATACACTTTTTGAGAGTTGTCCTTGGGTTACCTATTCCTCAACTCTTTTTTTAATTACAGAGCTGGATTGTCCATTATTGGTGGTAGAGTCTATGCAGTTGGAGGTTTCAATGGGTCCATGAGAGTGAGAACTGTCGATGTTTATGATCCATCAACAGATCAGTGGACCTCATGTGCAAGTATGGAAGCTCGACGCTCAACACTTGGTGTTGCCGTTTTGAATAGCTGTATATATGCTGTAAGTTTTTTGGGCTTTTTTTCCCCCTTTTTTGTCTTTTTCACGCCAGTTCTGGTTACATTTGGGATTTTGTATCTGTAATCAGGTTGGAGGATTTGATGGGTCAACAGGACTTAATTCTGCAGAGATGTATGATCCCCGAACACATGAGTGGCGATTGATTGCACCAATGTCTACAAGAAGAAGTAGTGTTGGAGTTGGGGTGGTCAACAGTCTATTGTATGCAGTAAGTATCCCTATCAGCTGTAAATTCACATATGCATGACTTGTTTCGAAACCCAAAATAGACTACTCATTATTTGAACCCTACTCTGTCTTAAGGTCGGTGGCTATGATGGAGCATCTCGTCAGTGTCTTTCTACTGTAGAATGCTATCACCCTGATTTGGATAGCTGGTCATGTGTACCAGAAATGTCAGTTAGGCGCTCTGGTGCAGGTGTTGGAGTTTTAGATTGTATTTTATACGCTGTTGGTGGTCATGATGGACCTCTAGTGCGTAAAAGTGTTGAAGCGTATAATCCAGAGACAGAAACATGGACCCAGGTTGCTGATATGTCATTTTGCAGAAGAAATGCTGGTATGCCTACCAATAATCATGTATTGTTAAATGAAATTTTAAGACTTCATATGTCTGTATTTATCCTTCATTCTGTTTTTATCTGTATTCTAGGTGTTGTTGCCTTAAATGGGCTGCTGTATGTTGTGGGTGGAGATGATGGCTCAGCAAACTTGGCTTCAGTGGAGGTATACAATCCAAAAACTGACTCATGGTCCATGCTTCCCTCTTCCATGGGCATTGGAAGAAGCTATGCAGGTGTTGCAATAATTGACAAACCTACGTAATGTGATGAGAAAAGCATCAAAGTTGTCAAAGTTGTATGTCATGGTACAACCACTGAACCGTCCATCATCAGTTACCCATTCCCCATTGCTCCACCTGCCATTTAATTTCTAAAGTATCACAGGAAACACATCTTTTGGGCTTTTTTCTGCATCAAGTTTTTCTTTTCAATTTTAATGCCATGGTTGTGCTGGTATTTAAGTTTCATCTATGTACACAGATATGATCTCTTCACTGTACTTACAATCAAAACGTGCATCTAGCATCTGTTATGCAAAATCAATATCATGTGGAATGTAATTCTTACTTATGTGAGTTGAATTACATCTGTAGTATTTATTTTATAATCTTAAATTTCTGTTTTGACTTAAGATTTAAAAAAAATTGTTTTCTTATTAAACACTAAATGTATCTACTGTATTATACTATACCTTTTTTTTTTTTTTTTTAGGTGTTTTAACATTCTTGCAGGACTTTCAAAAGTCTGTAACCGATATAGAGATTTTAAAATTTTGATTTCCAGTGACCAATCAAATTAGGGGAAATTCCTGAGCGTAGAATATAATTTATTTTTATGTAAGAATTTTAATGTTTCAATTTTCATTGCACTGACACAAATTCATTCATAGGCAGCAGATCAAATATTTACATACAAAAGCTGGTTTCTAGCATTAAGATAATCTTTCAACACATCAATAACTTTGACTATCTCGTACTCACCATTGTAGCTGCTTTTTTTTTCTAAATATTACTTTTAATTAGCTCTCTACCCTTTCATTGGGTTGTTAAAGATGTGATGCACTTGCATTTCTTCTAAATGTTCTGATGGCATACTGTTACAATTGTGATATTTTGAGATTTAAGATTTAGTTTCTTGAGCTGTTGAGTGTTCTCTTTCTTGAGATTTGACCTGCATGCAAAGTTGTAGCTTTGCCAATATAAATGTGATATCTAATTTTGTGATTGTTCAAATTCGTATGTACTATCATTTTTTATCCTTTGAAAACCAAGACAGTAGTACTACCCTCTCTTTCCTAATACTGGCTTGCAAAATGGTGTTAGTTCTCCACAGCAAAACAAAAATTAATTGTCTACTCTTACTGTTTTCACACCTTCAAATTTGAAGAGTCAAAGACCAGTTTGTGGATCATGAGATGTCTATTGCTACCCTTAAGTAACTTCATTAGTGAAACAAGTGTTACATTTTTCTACCTTTTTGTGCCTGTCTTCGCACTATATAGACAATGGTGTGCGGCTAATTTGTACTTTCTAAAATATACAACTTAAGTTATTTTGGAGAGAGAATTACTTGAAACAATCTGTTAGTATATGATAAACATCTTGTAGAAATGACAGACTAATATACCCACTCTTGCCTGAACCTTTCCAAATGTTTTGAATCTAAATAATTGTTCACTTACGAATACCTACTTTTGTCTTGGCTCTGTAGTGTTAGCCAAAAATTCCAAATATAGTACATGATGATAAATGTATATAATATTATTATCATTCAAGAAAAATTGTTCTATCCATTGTAATAAATTTTTAATTGTGCCAAACAAGTTTTTATTTGCAATTCCAGTTTTATACAAGTAACAGCTTACATGAGAAGTTTGTGAAATTAGAGTTGCTAATCTCACCAAAAAGATAGCAGAAAGGAGATTATGAAACACTGCTATGTTTTTAGAACCCATTTATTTCGCAATAGTCACAAGTTCTATTCAAATTATTACATGTCTATCTTTACAAGGAAATATACAAGGTACCAATGAACTAGATGGTACATTCACAGCCAGTGGGATGAGTTCTCATACTCCATACGGTCCTGAGGATCTGCATGGGCATAGTATGATTGAGCAGAATACTCAACCCACTCATTCTCTCCAAGAGTGCTGAATACAGGAGTACCATACAAGGTTCCAACCTCCCATCCTTCGACATCCTTCATCAACTCTGCCTCAGCATCACGATTCCTCCTCATCTGTCTCAAAAGCCTATAAACACAAAATACATTAATTGAAATCAATACTTCAAAGCAAGGAAGATAGAATAGTTAAGATATCAAGAAAAACAACTCCACTTACTGTCGATCACGTTCAGCCAGAAGGAAGGGTTGGGTTGCAATCTGACCACTTTTCTGCTCCAAATAAATTTTCTTCAACCTTTGACACGACATTGTGTATAAAACACTGCCAACGGCATAGGAAACAAAAGCGGTTAAGGCAATACGTGATCCTAAAAAATTAAGATAAGATAATTTTCAAAATGAAATTGTATACAGACAACAGACACTGACACAAAGTCTTGACAGGTGGCACTGTCACAGTTTAACAAAGCAAGATTGACTAGTGTTAAAAAGGAAATTGTATTACTTCAAAATATATAAATGGTTATTAAAAGACAAAATAGTTTTGGCAAATTAAGAAAAACATTGAAACAGCTTAACTCACCATTGAAGAATGTCCTGTGGGGTACTTTCTCGTATGAAACTTTACCAAATCCACCTGGAGGTGGAAGGTCTTGAGGTGGGGCAACAGCTTTCGACATTTCCTCACTTTTTCAAAACTCTTTCAAGTAAAGTAGAAAACTATTTTATTATTGCAAGGAACAAGAAAGATATAACCTTTCTGTTACCACCAGAAGACGTACTCCGCCTTTGTTATCTTCTAGCTGCCCTGTCAGCTGTTTTCTTTTTCCAAGTCGTTCTTACGGCGGTGGCGGTGCTCTGAAAGAAAAAAAAACAGCAGACAGCAGCCACATGGAACACATGTGTTGACTTGTACGACTTGTTTGTTTTTGTGAATTTATGTTTGAAAGGAAGTCATGGGCTTAACAAAGCCACAGGAACGCCATAGGGCAAGTGCCCTTAAACAGTCAAACAAGGCTCACAAACATGGTCGCCATAAGAGTAAAGGAATTATTGATAATGAGACTAAAGGTGAGATACTTAACCTTTCTTTGTAGGTATTAGGCCTGTATTTGTTGTGTACTTAATTCTCATTTCTGCGATTTATGTTACCTAGGAAAGATTTCAGTGAAGGCCATCACTAAACGAAACAAGAAGGATCTAGGTAAAGACGAGAGACGACACCAAGCAGGGCAGCTTCGTAAGAAGAAAAGGGATGAAGTCCTTCTCAAGAAACGAGCCCTCGGAGGCTCTAAAACTGCACCATTCCTGGTGAGCAGAAGTCTGCGCCAAACCTATACCACATCAATTTTAAAATTCTAATCACAATTTTAGTGGTTTTGAATTCTGAGACGAGGACAGTCAATGACTTGTTAAGTTTCATAATCAGTATTGTATTGTACTTTCTTTCAGGTGGCAGTTGTCGCACTCTCTCCAGAGATTTCTACTGCTGAAGTATTGGAAATGCTTCAAAGAGCAGACCCTGAAGCAGTTGTCACAAACAGTCCTAACAAAATTGTCCACATAAGGTAAGCTTATGAATTTACTTAAAGAAATGTCATTTGCCAATATTATAATATCACTATGTGAGTTACTTGGTGAGTTAACATGCCTTTCGTTTTTCAGTGTTCCAAGATTTAAGCAACGTTTTTCCTTCCTGGAAGTGGCACCTGGTGATGTGTATGCTACTTTGGATGCCCTAAAGATTGCTGATACTGTTCTATTTGTGGAAACAGCTCGTCATTGGGAAGAAGGTCTCTACCCTGAAGCAGAACTGCTATTGACTACATCCATGGCTCAGGGCTTGCCCACATCGGTTGTAGCAATTATGGACCTAGAATCAGTTCCAAAAAAGGTATTTACCTACTCCAACAAAACATGCATTTATATTCACATATAATTTCAAATTTCTATCCCATTGCTTTACGTTTTTTCAAAACAAAAAACAAACAGAAACAGCAAGAAGCCAAGATCTCTATTCAAAAAGAAATGGGTCAGTACTTGCCCGATGAAAAGGTATTAACTTTATCATCAGACAGTGACTCCATCCTCCTACTCAGGCGAATAGGTAGCCAAAAACAAAAGTCCATAACTCAACGAGATCGTAGACCACATTTAATGGTTGAAGAAATTCAATCAGTACCAGAGACAGAGGTAAATTCTTTTGATTTTATCCTCGAATTGAGCTTACATGTTCGTATTTTACACCAGCAGATCTAATTTTATTTTATTTTCTATTTTTTTTTCTAAGGGTTGTGAATTTATCAATCTTCGGGTTTCTGGATACTTGAGAGGTCAGAATATCACGGCAAATCAATTAGTTCATATACCTGGCTGGGGAAACTTTCAAATCCAGCAAATTGAAACTCCAGCATTGGATCCTCATCCACTGGATGTTCGCAAGCGGACTGATGATGGCATGGAAGAAGATGCAAAAGTCCTTGAAGTTGCTGATCCATCAAAGCAGGTAATTAAGAATTAATTTTTAATTGATCATAGGCACAGTATGTATATTTTGTGTTTACATTTACTTATGCTATAGTTGTACTGTGAATTGTTTTGAAGGAAAGTCTTGAGAGTGAAAACATACCCGATCCTATGGATGCTGAACAAACTTGGCCCACAGAGGAGGAAATAGCTGAAGCAGAAGCCGAACGTAAGGCCAGGAAAATAATCAAGAAAGTTCCTAAAGGATTTTCTGACTATCAGGCTGCGTGGATTCCAGACTGTGATGCAGGTTAGACGAAAACCAAACTGTCCACTAATCCAGAAATGTTTTAAAAACATTCAAGCTGTTAAAGCTGTGTTGTTGTTTTTCCTTCAGAGGAAGTTTCTGGTGATGAGGAGGAATCTGACTATGATGATGCCATGGAGGACCCAGATCTTGATGCCATGTCAGCAGAGGACAGTAACCAATCTGAAGATGAACATGATGATGAAGAATATGATACTGTTACTGTCACCGAAGGTGCACCTGATGCAGATCGTTATGATGCAGAAATGGACATGCATGAAGAGCTAGAGACATTGAAAAAACTCAAAGGTAAAGCTGTCTACAAGATTCAAACCATAATATTGCTAAATTTGTTGTTTGTAACCTTTTTTCTGTATAATTTGCCAACTGCTTGGATTCTTTTTTCTTTAGATGCCAAATCTGATGCCCAGTTTCCTGATGAAATTGATACACCTCATGATATGGCTGCAAGGTTGCGGTTTCAAAAGTACCGTGGTTTACAGTCATTCCGTACTTCTCCTTGGGACCCCAAAGAAAATTTGCCTAGCGATTATGCAAGAATATTTCAGTTTGAAAATTTTGATCGTACTCGAAAACGTGTCCTAGACCAGCTTAAAGATAATTGCTTGGGAGCCATGGTACTTCCAGAATCTTATTCTAAATTTGTCACATTTCAGCAAATTAGTAGTAGTAATGTTATTTCTCATAATTTAACATTGTCTTGTTTCTATTCTAGCCTGGTTGGTATATCACCCTTGTCATCACCAATGTTCCCAGGGAAATGATTGAAAATCAGAAGCATGGAATTCCCTTAGTTTTGTATGGACTGTTGCCTCACGAGCAAAAAATGTCTGTTCTGAACTTGGTTCTTAAACGTCCTGCTCAAATGTCATTTGGTTTGCAAACCCCTATAAAATCTAAAGAACAGCTTGTGTTTCAGTGTGGATTTAGAAGGTTTAAAGCATGCCCTGTTTTTAGTCAACATACAAATGGAAGTAAACACAAGGTAAAATTTAGTCACATCAGTTTTGTATATCAGCTCATAAATCTTTCCAGTGCACTTATATAGATGTTTCCCATTGATTAATTTTAGTTTGAGAGGTATTTCCAACCTGATGCTGTTGTTGTTGCTACCGTATTTGCACCAATTACTTTTCCACCTGCATCAGTTTTAGCATTTATTGAGCGTAAAGATGGAACTCAGGTAAGTTAGTGCATAGGTTTTGGTAAATTTATGTGCTTTCTCCTTTTTTTGTTGCTCTTACCCTATTGTCTTGTGTGTCTATAGCAACTGGTCGCTACAGGAAGTTTACTTTCGGTCAATCCTGATCGTATTATTTCAAAACGAGTTGTTTTGAGTGGACATCCATTCAAAGTGAACAAACGCTCAGCAGTCATTCGATTCATGTTCTTTAATCGAGAGGACATAAACTGGTTCAAACCGGTAGAACTCAGAACCAAATTTGGCCGGCGTGGACATATTAAAGAACCATTAGGTATGCATCAAATTTACTATTAGACAAAAATTATTTTCATTTCCAGGTAGCTGTACAAAACTTTAAAATCAAATGATTTAATTGCCTTGTTTGTTTTTCCCATTAGGTACTCATGGTCACATGAAATGTGTATTTGATGGTCAACTCAAGTCTCAGGATACAGTCATGCTTCATCTGTACAAGCGAGTGTTCCCTAAATGGACTTATGACCCATGTGTTACTGCACCTGACCCCTTATTTAAGACTGTCCTGAGGTCAATTGAGGAAGAGGATGAGGAAATGAGTTAAGCGGATGAATTTTGCCTTACAATTTCTTTTATTGTAACATAATTGTGTATTATAGTGTTGTTTATTCTCCTTCAATTATTTATACTTAAAATAAATATTAGAGATTTATTCAAAGAAGGTGTTAATTTGTACTTCCAAGTTGCCCTTGAATAATGGCACTATGAAAAGTTCGAATTATTTTGGTTTGCGCAGGCGCAGGACCTGTTTTGTTATCTTCTAGATGCTGTCAGCTTACAGGGGATGAAAGTGGATTCTGTCTTCCTTCTAATATTTCGACGATATCTGCTGGGCGTGGGCGTGGCTTTATTCAAGAGGGGAGGGGGGGATAACATCTCTTATTTGATTTGGGCGTGGCCGGGTGACTGTGGCTGTGTCCAAAGCGACGAGGCACCCAACCGGAAGCAGGAAGGCGAAAGGTGTGAAGCGGTGTGCGCTGGCCTCCCTACCTGGCTCCTGGCTGCAGGAGACCCTAGACACCCCGACGTGCCTTAACCGACGACGCCCCGTCCCCCTACCCACCACCTCTGTGCTACCCACCACTGCGGCGCACCACCACCGGCGTCTGGAGCAGAAAAGGATGCAAGTGGACGTTTCGGAGAAGTCATTCTACCCGTCAACGAGCATATATATAACGTCATAAAGTCGATCCGTCATCGTGATCTGTCCTTCCTACACGTCATGGCGACGTACACTACTGGAATTCCCCCTCCCCTCCTCCGTTTTACTCTTGGAGGCAGCACCAATTGCATGGAGCCCGGTCAGCTGCTGATTTTCCGCTGAGTTGAGTTGGCCGAAACGAAGCAAACTGCGCCTAAGAAAACCGATACTGCGAAGGAAACCTGTGTCTTACCTGGCACTCACGCACACGCATCCACCAACAAGCAAGGCATCGATCGATCGTCGATGGTGCGAGCTCGGTGTTCGGTTCTCGGCACGGCGGAGAGAGCAGCCAGCACCCGCGTGCGGCGTGTTCCGGGACATGTTGTACTTATGAATAAACATAGCAATACATGCAGCAGCAGAGAGAGGGAGAGAGCGTGGGAGGGGGTTTGCCTAGCATCAAGTAAACAACCGGATATTGCATTGACAAGGCTGACGAACAGTAGGAGTATTCGCGGTAGAGTAATAGTTTTGTGGTTTTTTTCGATCAACATTTTCAATTTAAAAAAATAAGTTAATTAAACCTTCTTCCCCACCCCCACCCCCTATTCTGGTAAAGGACCAACTTAATTCCTTGCCTCTTCCTTTTGTGCCCCCGCCCTACCTCCCCGTTCTCTCTCCGCGTAAGGATTTGTTTTCTCAATCGACTACAAATTTATTGTCTGGCGATACCCTCTGTTCTTGCACTTGGACGAAGTGGCCGACGAAGATCGCACGTAAAGAAAAGGCGTTGGCTTTGGGTGGGCGAGGTAGATGGTAGATGTGGCAAACGGAGGGAAGGGTAAAGGGGAGGGGGGGGGGTTGATCTGCTCTGGTATGCCCTGTCCTGCTCGCGCCCGTGCCCCGCCCCAGACCTTGGTTCGGGCGTGGCCGTCCTTGGCTGCCGGCTGCCATACACAGCACCACTTGGCACAAGCCCCGCTCTGCCCCTACCCCTCTCCCCACCGGCCCGAGTGAGTGAGTGAGCCTTACGCCCCGGCCGGAGACTTCTTAATAATCGACGCACGAACTTGGCTCCATATCTCAAATATTGTTCCCGACACTACTTGCTTTGCTTGTCTTTTCGCAATAAGAAAAAATGATAAAGGGCAAATCAATTTTGTGCTTTTTAAACATCAACAGTCTATCTACGCAGTCGTTGTCGTATATGATGTGCTAGGATTTAGGATGTGCCTCACGCGTTTCCCTCAAAAGAGCAGAACCGTGTTGATTGTTCGCCTATTCATTGGGTTCCTCTCTCGCATCTCACATGTTGAAGACTTAGGGACCATTTAGAAAATAAGTCCGTCATTCGTCGTTACGGAACGGCCAGGTTCAGCTCCATGCAAGCTCTCATAGCGCCTGGTAGGTAGGCAACATCACGCCTGCAGTGCATGTGTGTACCGCGGGGTGGCCTACCCCCAGCCTCGCAGGCGCCGTGGTTAGCCAACTGAGTCCGAGGAAAACGGCGGTATTTTCTGGGCGATCACACATCGATCAATCAGTTTGAAAAGAAGTTGTCAAATTGACTTCGGGGGTAAAATATAAAAGAAATAAGTGGCTGCCAAGATGATGTGGGCGTATGTCAACCGTGAGGCGGTAGCGAAAATGAGGGGGGTGGGGCGGGTGTGTCGTCTTCTCGCTCTAGGACGGAAGTCGGTGGTATGCTAGGGTG